TCACTACCTGCTTTGTCACTAGAGCATATTTGACAGGCACCAATCCATGCAATAAGTCATACATTCAAAAATGCAATAAATTCTATTATTATACTGTATGTCAAAATGCCAGATTTTCATTTGGTAATACGAGGGAGACAATTTACTCTATCCCATGGCAAATACTCTATTACCATTCACGGAGACGCTTGCTCAAGTTTGTGCTTTGATAAATACGGAGGATTGTTATGTACAAGACAACATAGTTTATAACTTTGAATTTGAAATTTAACAGCTGAACATTGAGTATAATAAATTAAATAACACATATCTGAGAGGGTGATAGACCAGATTGTTACTCCTCGAAAAGACATTGTCAACCTTGGCTTCGCCTCAGTTGACAATGTTTTCTCGGGGTAACAATCTGCTCTATCACCCTCTCAGCTATGTGTTATTTATATAATGACTTACACGGGTAGTTCAAACGGACTGGATTGAATGACACATGTTTCTTTAAAACGATAGAAATATAGCCAATCTTATTTGTTTCAAATTACAATAATGTGAAAGAAATTAATTGTTAGGAGTGGTTATAATTATAAACTTTTCAAAATCTAACTAAGACTAATAATACTTTTCCACATCTTTGTAACATAAACGTAATAACCTGTTTCTTCAAAAAATTTCGTTAACTAAGCTTTATACAAAAAATGTTGTGAATAAGGCAATCATGCATTTCAAATGATTACAAAATACACAAAGCAGAGTAATCATTTGGACAGCATCCAACAACATCTTGAAAGGGTTTTTTTTTTTAAATTAATTATAATTGACCATGATACTCTGTTTAATATAATGTAAAATAATAATAACGATAATAGGAAGCAGCGAACACAATGTTATGGAATGAAAACGACACTTTATAAATAATATATAAATGTATGCCAATCTTTAGCTAAAAACAGATATATTGAATAGGTCTATAAACTCGGATAAATTGAAATAAAACTGATGTTACGTCAAAACCTGAATTCGGAATACGATATAACTGATTTTCTTTTTAATGAAAAAGGATAACGCTTTATAACAAATACGAATAATAAGATTTCTCTCATTTGATAAAACCTACCCGATTTAGCTGCCAACTTGCCATCTTCTATCTGTAAAATAAACATACACATTAATTATGAGTGTTAAATCTTTTCAGAAAACCGTTTTAATGGCAACAATAAAAACATTTTTTTGTTTGTCAATCAAGACGCTTTGAGGAGCAGAACAATTACAGTTTAATCAAAGTATACAAATAATTGTGATGTTTTTTTTCACTTAAAATTACAACAAACCGAAATGTATTACTATATATGAAAAGGGAGACAATGCAAGTAGTGTATTCTCAAAGATAATGAGTGAGTGAACACAATCAGTACCGTTGTACTACTTAAGAAAGATCTGACGGGTCACTCATGACTTATTACTTAAGTTTGCATTTCTATACTTAGTCACACTATTTATAATTTTTATCATAATAGCATTAACTATTGAATTTTTATTTGACATCAACCATATAAATTATTGATTTATCAGCAAATATGGATGATGGAACTAAAATGAAACTAGACCCTTTTAGTTTTATGCGACGGACATCGAAGAAGTCATGAATTTCATTCTCCACAATGTCATTGTAACGTAATTTACAAAATCTGTTGTTTAGAGGTATTACGTTGTGTCTTCCTTTTTCTATTTCAAGTTTATGAGCACTGATTCTAAATTTGGTTAACTCATTATTTTTGACAACATTTTTCTAATAGAAAATATTTTTCAAGACCAATATCATTTTAAAACAATCTATATTCTTTACAAAGCACAAAAATGTCGGCATTCACCTCAAAAGCTAACCAAACCTGTAAACAGACTTATTCGGAAAGGATATAGTTACGATACTGTTGTCAGGTCATTAAGAATTGCATATTCTGGTTTTAGTATTGATTCACTCATAGGGTCTTTGCATCGGAAATAAACAATATTATTCTAAAACCAGTTGTTGGCATGATACGGGCTATGTTTTTCTCATATATGTTATGATGGTATGATACTTAACCCCTAACGGGAGGGATTGTACTTGATTTTCATATGATGAAGACATAATCTTTCAATCAGTTTAATTGAGGTCTGGAGCTGGCATGTCAGTAACTGCTAGTAGTCCTTTGTTAATTTATGTATCATTGTCATTTTGCTTAGTTTCTTTTGTTACCTATTCTAACATCGGACTCGGACTTCTTTTGAACTGAGTTTTACTGTGCGTAATGCATTGTGTTTCTTTATTCTACATTGGCTAGAGGTATAGGGGGAGGGTTGAGATCTCACAAAACATGTTTAACCCCGCCGCATTTTTGCGCCTGTCCAAAGTCAGGAGCCTCTGGGCTTTGTTATATATATGTTTTTTTTTTTAATTTTAGTTCATTTATATGTTTTGGATTTTAGTGTGACGTCCATTTTCACTGAACTAGTACACACTTTTATTTAGGGGCCAGCTGAGGACCACCTCCGGGTGCGGGATTTTCTCGCTGCGTTGAAGACCCATTGGTGGCCTTCGGTTGTTGTCTGCTCTTTGGTCGGGTTGTTGTCTATTTGACATATTCCCCATTTCCATTCTCAATTTTATAACATGTATAAGTTCTTAATTTAATTCCTTGCACAATGCCAAGTTTGTCATTATTTTAATTGATAAAACAAAATTCATCATATTTAATTCTGAGTCTTTTTCTGTTAATTGACAATTTGTGATTAAACAAATATTCTGGTGTTACATTAAAATTTTCAAATAATGTATAAGTGTTACTCAACCAGTTGTCGCTACATTTGTTAAATTCGTCAGATGCCTCTTTAATGAGGAAGTTATTTTGTTCTGATAGTCTGACCATAAATATAGACTCAAGAATAACCTAAAGAGGATATTGCCCGTTACTGCTATGTTAGTTGATCTTCTAGGTGCCTGTAGATAATATTTACAAAATTTTAAAAGCAATTTTTCAATAACTAAATCTTTACTGATTTGGAAAAATAGTTATTTCCTTTTGATTGTAACTAATTTTGAGAGAATTGTTACTAATTTTCTTAGCCATAAAATAAAATTAGCTTCAGTATGAAGACGTACTTTAACATAAAGACCGGTTGGCAAAAATAAGTGATCAAAGATACCAGACAAATGTTAGTACATACTCATTAGTGGCGCTTGCATCAAAACAGTTAACATGTTAAGTCAACTAGGAGGTTGAGCAGCACTGAAAACCTCTAGTTTCAAATAATTAGCGAAATGCCAAAAAATGACTTGAAGTAAAAAAAATATTGGCATTTCGAATGATGCTTAAAATTTTGGAACATAAAGTTTACGACACCGAGGATTCATCAATATTTGTAGGTTAACAACATACGTGGTTTTCGTGGATAAGGCAATCGACGATTTTTTATACTGGGTAAAATGAATATGTTAAGCTTCTTTGATAGGTATATCAAGTGTTTCTTAAACCACAAACATGGATTTCAATATGATATACAGTAACGGCTTTCTCAGGAGGAGGATAATAAAAATTGTCAACCCTACTGAGGGTTATTTTCCCGAGGGTTTTCTTCCGACAAATAGAGCCGTTACTGTTTTATTATACCGAACAAATATTAATCTCATAGGAAAAATTGCAACATATGTTTTCATATGTTTAACATATGTTTTTCATATGATTGAAAACATATGTAAACATATGTTTAGGCCCGACATGAAAACATATGTTTTCGAACATATGAAAAACATATGGAAAACATATGAAAAACATATGTTTTTAAAATCATATGAAAAACATATGTTTTTCATACATGTAAACATATGGAAAACATATGTTTTTCATATGTTTTTTACAAACATATGTTTTTCATATGTTTTCATACCTGGCCTAAACATATGTTTTCATATGTTTGTCCTAAACATATGTTTTCACATGTTTGGCCCAAACATATGTTTTCATATGATTTAATCTTGGTCCTAAATATATATTTTTTATATGTTTTTAATTGTTCAAATGCATTTATTTTCTCATAGATTCTAAACATGGTTTGTATATATATGTATTTTTTTTTTTTTGCGGTAGGTTTTTTAAAGTTATGTTTTGATGTTTTAATATGTTTTTCTTCGTTATTTTTTTTTTCTGTCAGAAACTCATTTTGAGTGTAAATACTTCAGTGTGATGAGTTGTTGCTTTAAAAAGTAAATAACCCAAAATACCAAACTCCACAGAAAATACATGGCAAAATCAAAAGCTCAAACAAATAAAAAACAACTGTATACAGGCATTCCTTTATGCAGAAAAATAACAGTGCTCCATAATTTTTATATCAAGTAGAATTCTTTTTTTATTAACTTGTTGTCTCTTCTATTTTCATATTTTTGTCTCTTTGACATACCACATTTCTATTGTCTAGTATATTCTATTTTGTTTTGTTTGTCTCTTCGACATCCACCATTTCTATTGTCTTTATTCTATTTTCATATGTTTCTCTCTTTGACATGCCCCATTTCTATTGTCTATATTCTATTTTCATATGTTTGTCTCTTTGGCATACCCCATTTCTTTTGTCTGTATTCTATTTTTAATATTTTTGTCTCTTTGTCATACCCAAATTCTATTGTCTACGTTCTATTTTCATGTTTGTCTCTTTGATATACCCTATTTCTATTGTCTATATTCTATTTTCATGTTAGTCTCTTTGACATACCCCAATTTTATTGTCTATATTCTATTTTCATATGTGTGTCTCTTTGACATACTCCATTTCTACTGTCTATATTCTATTTTCATATGTGTGTCTCTTTGACATACTCCATTTCTATTTCCCTATGATGTATGTGATATTTCTATTGCTATATCACCATACACAGATATTTAATTGTCTCAACTGCTGGCTATTACTGGTGCATGTGTATGCAGCTGCTTTTTTGGAAACATCCTGTATGATTAAGAAAGACAACTAAATTGACTTTGAGTTCAATATTGTATTAATCTAAAATTAATGTTCTTTGGTTCTGTTTCTTTACTTTTCAGTTCCTGCAAGTAAAAATAAAAGAACAGAGTTTCAATGTCCACCTAGTCGTACATTTTTTATCTATCAAGGGGCAATATTAAAAAAAAAAACATGTTTTTTTGTTCTCAAAAATATTTATAAATAAAAAATGTGCTTGGGGGAAAAAAAGTTCTTTTTCTTGTATACTAAATATTTCAAACCGACCTTCAAGGGCATTACTATAATAGTATACTACATGTATAAGTTAAATAAAAAAAAAATGAGAGCATTTACGAGGCCATTTTCCATAAATTTATTATTTCCAAGGGGCATAACTCTTTTGAAAAAAGTTGATCGGCCAAATTTATAAAACTTGACTAGGATTATGCTGATATTAACCTATAGAATAAGTTTTAAAAAATCTGGCAAGAATTGTACCTGCAAGACAATTATAAACACCCTACAATCATTCCATTACATTAAAGTAGTTCACCTATACTTTTAGTATCTAAAAAAAAGACCAAATCAAGAGAAATTTAATACTGACCAATGAACCATGAAAATAAGGTTAAGGTCAGATGAAGCCTGCAAGATAAATGTAAAGTTTAACCTAAACACCTTACAATTTCAATCTACAATCATTCCAGAAACCAAATATAGTTCACCTTTACCTTATAGTATCTGGAAAACAGACTAAGCAAGAAAAATATATCCAATGAACCATGAAGATGAGGTCAAGTTCGGGTGATTACTGTCAGACCCACTGGTGGCCTTTGGCTGTTTTCTGCTCTTTGGTCGGGTTGTTGTCTCTTTGACACATTCTCCATTTCCATTCTCAATTTAAAATCAGTACACCTTACAAACATTCCATACACCAAATATAATTGACTGAATGCTTATAGTATCCAAAAATTAGACCAAAACATAAAGACTTATTACTGAACCATTAAAATGAGGTCAAGGCCAGATTACAACTACCAGTTGGACAACTACACCTTACAATAATTCCATACACCAAATATAATTGACTGAATGCTTATAGTATCCAAAAATTAGACCAAAACATAAAAACTTATTACTGAACCATTAAAATGAGGTCAAGGCCAGATTACAACTACCAGTTGGACATCTACACCTTACAATAATTCCATACACCAAATATAGTAGACTTATTGCTTATAAACCTGAGATATTGAATTGACCACGAAAACTTTCTGACAGAGTAGACAGACACTAGGACCTTGCAAGATATCCACATACTAAGTAAATATAAATATCCTATTACCATGAATACTATAAATAATACTAATAAGAGAGAAATTATGAGAGAAATTAACATTACAAAAAACCTTTATTTTTTCAAGTAATCACTGAACCATGAAAATGAGTTCAAGGACAATGGACAGTTGACTGACAGAAACTTCATAACATACATATGCATCTATAGACATTGTACATAGTATGAAGCATCCGTGTCTTCCACCATCCCTATGTCGAGCTTTCTGCAGCGGAAGTCGCAAGCTCATCAAAAAAACTAAGCCCATTTATTAGTTCAAATACGGAAAAATGAAAAAGAATATTTTCAAAATTTTGCCTTGGATACTGTAGTTTGGTCATTAAGAAGCTTCGAATATTCTGTCTCAATTTCACAAAATCCCATGTCTGTTTGACAAAGTAATCGACGTTCAAAAAAAATTTAACCACAGACTGAACCTAAATTTTAGGACAGCGACGCCGCCTCTGGCAGAATCTAGGATCACTGTCTCGCTTTCGTGAAATAAATTTGCAAGCTTGACAAAAAGCAGAACATGTTTTTCAGATATTGAAATTCTAAGCAATTATAAATACTTATATGCTGTTATGGTCCTACATATTCTTGTGTGTTCAATATTTTGGCATTACACAAAGTCATGCTTTCTTAGACTGTTTGAAATGACAAATGTTTTGTTGTTACATTAATTGATTAAATCTGTCGAAGGTGAACTGATAGATATTTTAGTTTGAGAAAACATAATTTTTGCATCTTTTATTATTTTGTTATTTCTTTTTAAGTGCTTGTTGATGAGTCCAGCCTTTTCTTGCTGATTCTGACATTTGGTTTTTATGTTGGGTGCTGTCTGCCATACTGTGTGTAGTTTTATTTTTTTCATTGGTTCACATTTTTTCATCCTTATACAAGTTATAGCCATAATAGATTACTTTATGGTATGGATTTTGATCATTGTTTATGGCTGTACAGTGACCAGCAAATGTTAACATCTTCGTCCTTTGGTTTTTTAATTGATAGTTGTCACATTGAGAATCATACATGTACCTCATCTCCTTATACATGTTATATCTATATATATATATATGCTGGTTCATAAAAAAAACTTAAAGGGAAATTATTCAATTGTTATACATGTATGTTTAAAAACTCATTCCTATAATGCAAAAACAATAATTGATTGAATTTTCTTGCTTATTTTAATGTTCAGTGGCAAATATTTTATGTATATTCAAGATGAGAACAACTTTTAAATACCCAATTCATAATATAAGCAAATGCTATAATTATTTGAACTTCTGACATCTCATGCGTGTGTGTGTGGAGCAGAAGGAGAGCAGGATAAGGATTTTTTGATGCATACTTGACATCAGAAAGAAATAAATAAACAACAGTATACATGCCGTAACATGTACAATTACACTTGAAAAAGTTTTCAATAGATAACATTACATTATTTAAATTAACTGCAATTCTACAGATGAACTTACTTTGATACCAGTTCTTTTTGCCGGACATCCGCATCTACATGTACACCAGTGATTCTAATACTGCATTTTCCTTTAATTTGGCAACCATGGTAATAAGCTAAAATTTTAAATCTTAATTTAATCCAGAACTCCAGACAAAAACTAGATCATTTTTGTAGATGAAGTATGAACTGATGCTCAGAGAGTCACTAATTTATATTTTTACTTTTTACTTTTGATTGAATGGAAAAAATGTGTAAGCAAACAACAAAAAGATCAACAGCGTAACTAATATTAACTAGAGGCTCTAAAGAGCCTGTGTCGCTCACCTTGGTCTAAGTGCATATTAAACAAAGGACGCAGATGGATTCATGACAAAATTGTGTTTTGGTGATGATGAAGTGTTTGTAGATCTTACTTTACTGAACATTCTTGCTGCTTACAATTATCTCTATCTATAATGAACTTGGCCCAGTAGTTACAGTGGGAAATATTTTGTAAAAATTTACAAAAATTTACAAAATTTATGAAAATTGTATAAAATTGACTATAAAGGGCAATAACTCCTTAAGGGGTCAATTGACAATTTTGGTCATGTTGACTTATTTGTAGATCTCACTTTGCTGTACATTATTGCTGTTTACAGTTTATCTCTATCTATAATAATATTAAAGATAATAACCAAAAGCTACAAAATGTTCTTAAAATTACCAATTCAGGGGCAGCAACCCAACAACGTGTTGCTTGATTGGTCTGAAAATTTCAGGGCAGATAGATCTTGACCTAATGAACAATTTTATCCCTGTCAGATTTGCTCTAAATGCTTCGGTTTCAGAGATATGAGCCAAAAACTGCACTTTACCCTATGTACTATTTTTTAGCCATGTCGGCCATCTTGGTTCACGGGCGGGGTCATCGGACACATTTTTTAAACTAGATACCCTAATGATGATTGTGGACAAGTTTGGTTAAATTTGTCTTAGCAGTTTCAGAGGAGAAGATTTTTGTAAAAGATTGCAAAAATTTACGAAAAATGGTTAAAAATTGACTAAAAAGGGCAATAATTCCTTAAGGGGTCAACTGACCATTTTGGTCATGTTGACTTATTTGTAGATCTTACTTTGCTGAACATTATTGCTGTTTACAGTTTATCTCTATCTATAATAATATTAAAGGTAATAACCAAAAACGGCAAAATTTCCTTAAAATAACCAATTCAGGGGCAGCAACCCAACAACGGACACATTTTTTAAACTAGATACCCCAATGATGATTGTGGCCAAGTTTGATTTAATTTGGTCAAGTAGTTTCAGAGGAGAAGATTTTTGTAAAAGTTAACGGACGACGGACGACAGACGAACGACGGACGCCAATTGATGAGAAAAGCTCACCTGGCCCTTTGGGCCAGGTGAGCTAATAATATATGTATAGCCTAAGCCCGTCTTAGTTTAGTATGAACTTTTTCTAATATAAAATCATCTATTCTGCTGTCTACAGTTTAAAAAAAACAACATTTAGGCATTAACTCTTGATGTCTATTAAATCTTGATTTCTTGTTACATAGGCAAAATTGTTTAAATACACAATTTAAAGGCATGTAGTGGAATCTCAATAAATACTCATGATTGCAATGTAAGTTTAATCGTTGTTGTAGCTATGAAATCTATACAATAACGTCATTCACTACAGCATTAGGGTTACAACGTTACCATAGTTCAATGTTAGTACTTCACGTATACTATTTTCAGACAAGGCAATATTAACTCATGAACATAATATGTTGTCATTTGTGTTACCATCCATACTTCATGCATTAAATAAAAGAATAGCGCTTCAATGTACCTCGCCAATTGATGGATATATAAAATTTGCTGTCAAAAAGCAAAAAATATGTATGTTCTTTTAACCTTTTTCATAAATTATAAATAATCTAAAAGAAATGAAGACATGTGTGGGATTGCTTGCAATGCAGTTTTTCTTACAATATCTATTTCCAAGAGGTATAACTACTGTAAACATATTTGATCAGCAGTTATTTTCTAACTCATAAAACTAAAAGACCATGCTGATATAGACCTATGGTATGAATTACAAAAATATCTGACAAAAAAATGTAACCATAACAGTGCTTTACTGGTTATCTTTCATAGAATTTACATTTCAAAGTGAAGTAATTCCTGTATAAATAATTTATCCAAGACATTAATGGTCTATAATAAACCTTTGGTATACATTAATATCATATGAATAAACTTTAGACATAGAAGTATGTCTTCTCTGTATGAAATCCTGTTAGTAGATTTTAAACGTTGATATTATAATGACAATGCTTAAACATCCAAAGTCACACACCATCCATGACTTGACAAAGTTTCAAAATTAATAGACCATGACTGAGGGGCTGGGCAAAATAAAAACAAGGGATATGAAATGCGCTAGTACTCTGACATATACAACTGCATACCAAATATCAAAGATTTATCATTATTGGTTCACTCAAACTGACCTAATCAGAAACTTTTCACATTTAAGTTAAGTAAAAATATCAAAGTCAATCAACCATGACTGAGGGATTTGGACCATATAATCTCAATGGAAATGGAAATGAGAAGTGGATATCCTACTTCTACTGCAAAAAATATTATTGACTTATTCAACCATAACACGGCCATAAGTTATTGGTTGGTTCCTCTTAAACTGACCTAATCTCAATTTTTAACAAATTGTTTATGACTTCGCCTCTGTTAAAACAGCATTCCCAAGACTCACTTTCATGACTGTTGTTGCAAGACAAAAAAAGAACAAGCAATGAAGTGTTAATAGAGCTTCCAACGCTATTTTCTATAAAATTGACCTGTAAAAAAAAACAATTTGTCACTGCTTATAGAAATAGCCCACAACAAGAATCAAAACTTTCAACTCTATCATGTCTATGACCTCAAAACTTGCAACATGTATACAGAGTCTGACAACAACAAAATATTTAAACAAAGTTATCCTCTTCATTACATACCTCTCATCACAAAATTATTCATTGACTACTGCTCCTTTTATGCACATAAATCAATATGACAATCTATGAATCCATTATATAATCTAGAAAGCAATGCCTCAAATGAATTCTGTTCTGTTGCTTAGATTCTTCTACTTCTTGAAGTACATGTACAAAATGTACTTTCATTGAAAATGCTAAAAGAAATAATGTATAACATGTTCAAATGTATAATAAAATGAAGTTACAATATATCTGCCAAATTGCCTTCAATATTTTTATATGGCAAAATTGGCTTATTTTGATCTTTTAAAACAAGAACAACAGATCTAGACTTGCCCTGAAAAAAATTTAACTATATCAAAAGTATTAAATTATTTGAATGTTCTAATCCATCTTATGCATGTTATGTTTTTTAAATCCATAGTCATGACTGTTGTATGAAGTGATGAATCAAAGTGGTTAAATCTGCTTTGTACATATCTGATGTCAGATGAGTTGAGCAGTTTCACACCACTATCCCAGGTTAAGGAGCTACCATTTTATTTTATAGGGGGAGGGGTAGGATGAAAAATTTTGTCCTGCATTTTTATTTTTCCACTCTATTCAGTCCTGTTTTTTTTTTTATTTATAGTTTATCCTGACAATTTTTTTACATCAATCGTCATCCTGCCTTTTTTTTTTTTTTGGCAAAGTGTCTCATCCTGCCTTTTTTTCAAATTTCATCCTAGCCCCACCTCCCCCCACATAAAAAACAAATTATAGCTCCCTCAAGGGGAGGGTTTGGCACCAACAAACTAGTCTGACTCCACCACATTCTGTATGTGCCTGTCCCAAGTCAGGAGCCTGTAATTCAGCGGTTCAAGTTGTCGTTTGTTCACTTTGTTGCTGTATGTCATATTTGTTTATTTGTTCCTTGTTTTGTTTATAAATCATTATCAGTCTGTTAGTTTCCTCATTTGCATGGTTTTACATTTGTCATTTCCATTAAATGTCTTTTATAGCTGACTGTGGTATGGGCTTTGTTCATTGTTGAAGTCATCTTGTACCATAACTTATACTTGTTAACTTCTATGTCATTTGATCTCTGGTGGAGAATTGGACCCTTCTCATTGGCAATCTTACCACATCTTCTTATTTTTATATTCACATTTTAAGTAGATGTAAAATAGACCATTCATGCACTCGACTAGGGTCCACATCTTATAATGTACAACAAGGTGATAAGACCTGCCGCTGTAATAGCCTGGTTCATATTTTTCAGCTTAAAAATATGTGAATTGGTGTGGAAAACTATCAGAAGTATAATACATGTATGTTAAGGCTGAGAATTACTAGATGTTTATTGTTATAGTACTCAGTAATAGTAGTCTCAGACTCAGGATAATTAAGGCTTATTGTACTTGTCATATGCAAATTTAAGCCCTGTAATTTTCTTAGTTGCAAGTCTTGTTTTGCCTTAAGGTAACATAAAATAAGGAATTTGAGCCTCAGATTTGAGCTTTAATCAAATGTGATGATTTTCTCGGTAATGCCGGAATGTGATTCTTGTCCGCTCCTGTATGTCCTGGAATCACGTGCACTCATAATTAAAATTGGGAAAAGGTTACATGTACAATATTACCTACGCGATGTATGAAAAGGTATAATACATTTTTTAAATCTAAATTATATGAAAAAGGGGGAGTAATTGCGGTATGAGTTCCATATGGCACCCCCACCCAAAATGTTGTTAAAATATATTTAATTGATATATATTTAATGTACAATAATAATATATTTGTTTTACAAGGTATTAACTAAGATTTAAGGAAATGGGGGTGTCAAATAGATATAGGGGGTGTCACTTATTGGAACAGGGATATGTGTCATAAAAATGTTGTAAAAATTGATTGATTTAATATGTATTTGATGTACAATAGTAATATATATATATATATAACTATAAAGGAAAATGAAACAAAATGAGATTTATAATGATTTCATTTTTATTTTGAAATAATTAATTTCAATTAAAGAAAGGGGATATACTTTTCACATGTCCTGAATGAAACTGTCAAAAAGTGATGTTTTATCTGAATATAATACATATATTCCATTAAATGTTTATCAAAAGTTTTAGATCTTGTATGTGTTGTTGGCAGTTGTCGTTTGATACACCACCTACGATTCTCAATTAAGTTAGTGCATGCACCAATAGTGCATGAGTGGGATCAACAAAGTTTTCTAATTTTTCAACTACGTTGCTAGTTTTTAGTTGACCACAAGCAAAAGGCGATGATTCTTCAGACAATGAAAATAAACTTTTACTAGGATCATATTCATTGTCAATTTCAAAACTTGTATTTATATTAAATTATCCACATTGAAATGATGATGAATCTGATGATACCTCCTCACTTATCTCATTTTTCGGTTTATTAATAACTTTCTGTTTTCTTAAATTCATGTATGTTTATTCTTACTGCAACATGGATTGGACTTGAAGAATCACCCATGTTAAATTAATATCAATTCCAAATAAACAAAGGAAATGAAATAAATAGTGAGTACGTTTCAATTCAATAGTATACCAATACATTTTGACCAGTGTAACTACTGGGGTGTGAAAAATACTCATTTCACTGTATTGCTAATTATATTACATGTATTTAAACTTTACAAAAGTATTTTGTTACCTATTTTAAAGTGCAACAATAACCCTGATTTCCCCATATGGAATTACCTAGTATAAGGATATAATTATTTTTAAAACATATATCACCTAACTTGTCATAGCCTAGTGGCTAAGTCAGTGGACTACAGATCCCAAGATTGGAGGTTCGAATCCAAGTAAGGTATATAGGTATATATATATATAATAATTGTGTTATAAATATAATGAGATGTACTGTAATATAAATGATGCTTAAGATGTATAAGTAGTAACATGTGAAAATCTGAGGGTGTCAAAAGGAAATGGGGGTACCAAAAGAAAAAAAAGATTGTCAACAGAAAATGGCCCACATGAAAAGCAACTAATTTGTAATATTTTTTTAACATTTTTTTCCAATTATTTTTTTAACCCCCCAAAAAAGCCATGCCCCATTTTTTTTATAAATATCCCCTTAAAAAAAAAACTTTTTAGAATGTTTTACTAATCGGGGAAAAATATATTTTTGGGTGGGGGTGCCATATGGAACTCTTTCCATAAGATATACAGGTCTGCATCAGTTAAAGTAATTAAGTTCTGTTGTGACATTAGATAAACAATTTCAATTACATTAAGTATAAGTCTACAGTCAAATAGTTTTTCGTGAAAAATAAACTTAGTAAAAGCACACACATCTTCTGCTTTAATCCAATAATTAAACAAAATGTGCATAATAATATTTACCTTTCGTTGCGCTTTTAGGGTACGTAAAATTATCCATCAAAACAAAAACACTTTGACGTTCGTTTCGTTAACTTTCGTTTCATAAATTTTCTATGTTTCGTTCCCCGGTTTCTTCCAGTTAATCGACAAGTCACCCATTTCAATTTATCTGTTTATAATAAATTTTTGATTCGCCAGTTTGAAAAACCAAAGTTCCTTGTATCATCTATCTCTGTCCATTCTTAAAAACTTTTAAAAAGACAGCAGCAGATGGTCGCATGAGCGTCCATGGATTTTGCGTCATAGTATAAAACACGGTAACGGTGAAAAGATTTCCGGGTTTTCGTGTTCGACGTACCATGCAAGCTTTCGTACATTTACGTATATTTGAGGGTCTGGAATCAAGATGGGGGTTTAAGAATAGAAAATAATGACATAAAGTGCAAAATAAAGAACAGATAGCAAAAAAAAGCAGAAATATAGAATAAAGAATCATAGAGAATAATGGGATTATCAATAAAAAAAAGAATTGAGACTGAATAAAGAACAAACTAAAAAAAGAATATTTATTCATATTATTATTTTACATTCTGTTCAATTCAAAATTAGATAGCTCTGCTGTGGGGGTGACACTGACAGTTGCAATTTTTCCTGTGTAGTGTTACTCACCGGAGTGTACAATTTGTCGAAGTTATTCACCGGCCCTGTCGATTTGGATACAAATATCAGAATCGATTCACACCACGTGATATTTTATTAGACAATACATTGTTCAATAATTCTGTGAGGTGAAATGACATAAACGAATCCACAGAATATGACGTTTTAATAATAGTTCATGCGACACAAGGGGGTGACTACTGAGCTGTTGATCTACACAAGAAAGAAAGGTCAACCAGCAGTTGCATTGATCATTATATAGAAAGTGTGGAAAAAAATATTCATCGAAAAGTTATATAATGAGGAACCTTGATTTTTATTGTCAGCATATTTGTTATGTCGGGTTATGTGTTTTTGATAAATAAACGACATTCTTATTGGAACCAACCAAGCTCCTCTTCTTGTAGACATTTTTTTTTTTGGATTGATGCAGACTTCATACAGGAGCTTCGAAAACATAATCTTTCCTATTTCAAAAAAGTATTGTCCCATTTAAGGGTACATGTATTTACACCCGAAGTACAAAGTCCGGCGATTGCATTGCAAACTTGTATGTTAAGAGTCATTTTGGGGTTTTGAACATCCGTAAACTACAACTTATTTGTCATTTTTTTTTTATTGTGAAAAGCATTCGACACATTTAAATGGTCAGTTTTTTGCAAACATCTCTTGTTTTTAAGATTCTGACTTATACCTGTCATCAATGGATACAACTACAGTTTACATACATACAGATTTCAATTTGGAAAGAAATGAACAAGTTTATTGTTCTATGATCATATTTACAAGGCGATCAAATAACACTTTCTACTTTGTCTTGTTTTCAGAACTAATTATTGCTACATTTTAATTTGACCCAATATTAAAGTCATATGAAACGAGTTTCTTGAAATTTTAATGTTATCAAACTTATTTTTGATGTTTCTGTTATGGTTTTGGTTGAATAATCTGTTATGTCTTATCGTTTGTTGTCCAAATATTTCTAAAATTGCCTTTCCATAACATCATTGTCATATTCCCGAATATGACTGTTATACCGAGTGTGAATCTGCAATGCTATACGACGTGTCTCGGTATTTTGTACATCCAACATTCATGTATTTATTTTTTATATTTCTGTGATGGTTTCGGTTGAATAATCTGTTATGTCTTATCGTTTGTAGTCCAAATATTTCTAAAATTGCCTTTCCATAACATCATTGTCATATTCCCGAATATGGCTGTTATACCGAGTGTGAATTTGCAATGCTATACAACAAGTCTCGGTATTTTGTACATCCAACATTCATGTATTTATTTTTGATGTTTCTGCGATGGTTTCGGTTGGATAATCTGTTATGTCTTATCGTTTGTAGTCTAAATAATTATAAAATTATCCACTGTGTCTTGTTTGCTTATGACACGATCTATAAAATATTCACATGGATTTGGTACACGAATATAAGCTGGCTTTAAACGGTTAATGTGAACTGGTTGTGGAATAACTTTGTTTGTTTTGGGTTCCATTAACGAATAAAGATGAGGACTGTCTATGCGATGAATAATATACGGCCCTGCTTGTTTAAGCTTAAACTTCTGACCAGTCCCTCTGGGATCTTTTCCTAAATACACATAATCCCCTTTTTCTAGAGACAGATTATGAGCTGTCTGATTAGCCCGTTCAATCATTGATATTTTAGATTTTTCTGAATTTTCACGCACTTGATTTCGAATAAATTCAAGTTTGTCAGCAAACTCTCGAATATAATTGTGATAATCTTTTGGAATTTCTGAAAATGCGGTTTTTGTTACACACGATAAGGGAAATGATGGCCTTTGTCCATAGATAATCTCAAATGGTGAATATTTTGTTCCTTCATTCACGGAGTTGTTAATAGAAAAGACGATACTTGGAAAAAATCCTCCCAATTTGTATTGGTCAACAAATACGGTGTAATTCGCTCTGCTAAGGTTCTGTGTGATCGTTCGCAAGTTCCCAAACAGTGATGTGTAAAACTTGGTGTGAATTGTTGTTTGATATCTAAAAGTCTACATATTTCTTTTGTGCATTTTCCTATCATCTCAGATCCATGATCGCTAATAAGAGTATCAAAAACACCAAACTGAGTGATTATTCTATAAAGTGCATGCGAAACAGTAATTGGGTCAGAATTTGGTATAGGCTCTGTAAAAATAAACTTGCTAAACATATCGACTGCAGTACACACGTAACTGTTGCCTGACTTAGACACTGGAACAGGACCAAAAAGGTCAATTTCCCAAACTTGAAAAGGACGAATTGGAGTCTGAAAAGCAACAATGCCGGCTTTAGTCTTTGTGGTAGTCATTTTACGACACTGGCAAGCATGAAATGATTTTATGAAGTCGGACACTTTTCCTGCTAAATTTGAAAAATAATAATGTTCCCTTATCAAATCTACTGTATGCTGAATCCCGCCATTGCCTCCAAGTGGTGAATCGTGGTAAAGCGAAATAATTGTTTTTACGGCTATTTCAGGTAATGCAAGCTGATACTGACAAAATTGTTGTGTTCGCTTAGATCTTGCGACTCTAGTGTGAAAAAGCAAGCCATCGAATAAAGAAAAATCTCCTGTTTCAAGTAGAACTTTACGAGCTAGTTTTTGTGATTGTGGTAAATCACCTTTTTCTAAATATCGGAAAATATTGCAAAATTGCGGGTCATTAATTTGTAACTGTTTTATACTTTTCGGACTGAAATCACAATTTCTGAAAATTTGCAGCGATTCTATTTTCTTTTGGACAGTTTGCTCATCCGAAATAAAATGAACATCTGACAAATCGTCTACAGTTGCCGAAACTAGGCTATCACTATCGGGTATATTTGTTGAGCTTAATGCCGATTGGCTCTCCTCGACGGTATTTGTAATAAATTGATCATTACTAGGACTTTCGCCTGAAGTGTTCATCATAAGGTTCTCATCACTAGTCTGAGAAAATCTTATTTCCCCATTGGAAGATTGTATAGAATTTTCTTTTCCGGAAACTTTTGCAGTTGAGTCGGACATGTCAGACGCCACCGGTTTCTCGGCTATTGATAAGGGTTGATTCGTACGAACTCGTTTCTTTGTAAATTTGCGAGAAACACAATCATCGTTTTCCTCTGTATCGCCATCATATTCAAAGTCAGTTTGTTTGAAAGATTCACTTACTGGCCTACTAAACAAATTCTGCAAAATATCAATATTATTAAGCTGTAGCTCGTCGGTGTCATTTGATTTGTCACTACACAATAAGCTTGTAAAAGGCATTCCATTCGGTGTAATAATATTTCCGACATTTTCGGTGTGATAGGGGAAATATGGATCAAGCTGGTCCGGACTTTCAAATCCTGTTGTTGACGATTTGTAAGGCGCACGTGACAGAGCGTCGGCGACTTGCATGTCTTTACCCGGTTTATATCTCAATTCGAAATTAAACTGCTGTAATATGGCGATCCATCTTTCATAGATTGCTCCTTTTAACTGTTTTTGAAAAAGTGGCTTAAGTGCTTGGTGATCGCATTCAACTATGAATTTGTGTCCCCTTAAATACATTGAACAGTCTAATATTGCTGTTACCATACCAAGAAGCTCTAATTTCGTGGGACCGTAAGACCTCTGCCATTTACTTAGAGACTTTGAACCAAAACGAATAACGCGTAATTCTTCGCTAGTATCTTCCGTTGGGTGGTGTTGATATAACATATATCCTATTCCTTTACACGATGTGTCAACTGCAAGGAAAAACGGCAGGTTGTACTTCGGGAACGCAAGAACTGGAGAGTTCACTAGTAATGACTTAACTTTCTTAAAAGCCTGTTCCTGTTCGATTCCCCATTTAAATTTTACAGATTTTTTCAGTAACTTGGTCATTGGGTCAACTTCCGCACTAAAATTTTGAATGTACTTTCGAAACCAGTTGAAAAGTCCAATGGCTCGTCGTAAATCTTTAACTGATGTTGGCGATGGCATATCAAGTACTGCACTAACACGATCGGCGGGAGGTTGAATTCCGTCTTTTGATATCAAATGTCCAAGAAAAACACAAGAACTTTGTGCGAATGAACATTTCTTCGGTCCGAGCTTAAATCCGGCAGTGGCAAGACGATTGAAAACTTCATTTAAATCACCAATATGATCTTCAAATGTTTCAGAAACTATCAGTATATCGTCCAAGTAACATAAACAAGATCGAGATGTTAAGCCCTTCAAAACTTTGTCCATCAATAGCTGCATGGATGCTGGAGCAGAACTTAAACCCATTGGTAAACGGAGAAATTTATATGATCCAAAACAAGTGTTAAATGCAGTATATCTTTGACTTTCCTTTGAAATAGGTAATTGGAAAAATCCAGAGCTCAAATCTATAGATGTAAGAAAAACGGGTTTTCGGTCAGAAAAAGATTCGGTTAAGTCTTGTAAATCAGGAATTGAATACCGGAAGTCTTGACATTGATTATTTAAGTACCTAAAGTCACAACAAAATCTAAACTGTGACAAACTTGTTGATTTATTTATTGAATTGTTTTTAGGTTGAGGTCTCGTTCGTTTAGATACAAGAACTATCGGACTAGTAATCGGTATATCTTCCGTTTCTTGAACCGTTGAAATAATACCTTGTTTTAGTAATTCATC